CCTTCCACTCTCTCTGAAAAGCAATGGGAAAAAAATATCCTTGGGTAAGGATTAAAACAAAAAAAAGAAAAAGAAAGACCTAGCAGTGGTGAGCAATTTTCGCAAATCAAATTATGTACGTGTGAGTAAAGAAATCTCTGAAAAGGGCAAATTAGAACACATTTCTGAAGATAAAATTATTGTCGAGTACGGCAAGAGCACACGGTGTCCAATTTCTTAAATTTTCTCTTTTTTAATTCAAAACTCATCATTTAAACCAATTTCCAGCACAGAAGGGCTTGCTGACAAGGGCTAATACCCTGAACGAGGAGACAACTTAAAAAAGAAAATTAATGAAAGATGCCAGACAACCAAGGTGATCAGATTTTAAATGCCTTCGCTACAAAACCACAAGGCCGGTACCAAAAGTGCACACAGGCGCGCGCGGGCACACACACACACACACACACACACACACACACACACACACACCCCCCCAAGAGCTGGGTGAGCAGTTAAGGCACCTTCCGAGAAAACCCATGTGAACTATGTTAAACAGCGCTACCAAGAAGCGATTCTCACAGCATCTGAAAAACGTGCACATTGTCCGAAAACAGTGCCTGGCAAGCGAGACACTTTGCAAGCGTGATTCAGAGTCTGCCAAGGAAACAAAAGGAGCCCCCCTCCCCCGGGGAGCCCGCACGGGACACTGGAGGTGCGCGGGCACTAGGTGCTCTGGGGCCGGCGGAAAGCAGAGGGGGCTGTGCAGGAGCGGTACATACTAGGGGTCGCTCCCGGGCACGGAGTTTCCATTGGTGGGGGAACCGCCCAGCTTTAGTTTCTCCAGGTATTCGGCGTGCACGGGCTTGTGGCACTGGAGGACCTTGATGGCATCTTCGATTTTGAACCACTCTCGCTTCCTCCCAATGCTCACCGAATCTTCCCAATCCTCCAGAACCTCAGTGACAGTCAGGACATACACGTAGGTCCTGTGCTTGGGACCCTGGTTCTGCTCGAAGACGCCCAGGAGCCGGCCTAACTTCCCCTTGACTCCCGCCTCCTCGTACACCTCTCGGACGGCCGCGCCGCTCGGCTCCTCCTCGGGCTCCATGCCCCCGCCCGGCACGATCCAGCGGTCGGGGTACCGGCTGCTACTCACGAGCAGCACCTCGTCCTCGAGCTCGCTCCGGAAGCACAGGCACGCCGCCCGCTTCTTGAAACCCTCCGGGTCGTAGGTCCGCGTCTGGTTGGGCTTGCACTTCATCCTCCAGGCCGCCTGCTCCCGCGCTCGCTGCTGCTCCGGGCGCCGCCGCCGGCTGAGGTGCTGCGGAGAGAAAGAGGCGCTGCGAGGGGCGGGGAGAGAGAAGCGGCTCAGCCCGCGAGCCCCGAGCCTAAGACAAGATGA